CTCCACCTAAGCCCCTGGCATCAGCTCCTCGTTTTTTTCCCCTCCCTCCCCGCTCCCGACTCCCTCATGAGCCCTTGATAATTTGTAAATTATCATTTTGTCATATTTTGTCATCTTATCATTTAATAACCTAAAACTTAGATGATTCTCATTAGTTTTTATTTATTTATTCATATTCACCTTTGTATTACCAAACTATTCCCTAAGTGTATACTTTACATCCCCAATTATACTGTAAGTACCTTAAAGGTTAAAAACCTGTCTTTTATCATTTGTCCAAAGTATACACCGCCCCGTACTACCAGAGTATTTGACACTGTGCCACATACAACATGACTAATCACTGTTTGTATGCTGCTACACACACACGTTAGCTATCTGGTACATTAAAATAACTAAGAGGTAAAAACTAAATAACTGAAATAAGAAATGCTATGCTATTTGCAAATTAATTTAAGTGCTTAATAAAATACAAAAATCAAAATTTAAGTATCAAGAACTGTGTGATACTAATGAAGAAAAACATTTTCCCTAAATGGGAAATTACTGAAAAGAACCTTTGTTTTACTTGTTTTTGCTTTAAACACCGTTTTCTATCCTATGGAAATCCCAGGGAAAAGTAAAGCATCTATTGTTTGGCAATTATAAAAAACGCTCTGTGCTGTACCTAGTTTCACACATGCACACACATACATATATCCTCAAAAATGTATGCAAAGTTTATGTGTGTGCATGGGTAGGTTTCTATCTAAGACTGTTAGATGCATGATCGGAAACCACTATAGAGAATCCTTTTTAGGCATTCCTTTGGAATACGTGACTTACACTTTTTTTTTTTGACTTACACATTTTATAAATCCAAATTTTCTACACTTTCTTCAAGAAGGTTTACTAAAAAAAATTATATTGTCCAATATTATAAATTATGATCAAGCTTGGAAAAATTAAAAAACCATTCCATTCCTAAATCAAATCTTTTTCCCACATAAACAGCCCTTAGTCAATACCGATAGCCCTCAGTAAGGTATGTTACATGAGAGTGTTCAGCTAGCTAGACGCCAGGACGATAAATGGCTTTTTCTCAAATCTTCGTCTTCGTTTTAGTCTTCCTGTATTCATACCCCAGAGGTTCCAGATTCTCATCCACAGAGTGAGTATGGTCTAGGACTGACTCAGAGTTTAACAAATGTGCCCTGGGATCCTTCATCCAATCACTGATGGGCAGAGCCGATGGATGTCTCCGAGCTCACTGAACCCTTTCACCTCACCTCAGGGGTGTCTACAATGCTGTATGGTTGGAAGCATTCTTTCACAAATGATGAAAAGGAATGAAAAACGAGTTCAGAACAGAAACACTGGAGCCCAAGTAATTACACAGTGGCTACAAGCTACCCCAACAGCTCCCACCTTAGCACCCAAACAAGCATGCAATCATGTGCACAATAAGGAACATTCCTCTTTGAGGTTTTGAGTTTTATTACCTCTAATTGCATTTAATTCCTTACATGTGCCATTTCTATTTACACTCCAGTATAGTCAGCCACAAAGCGTATAAAACTTCTAACAGCAACTTGCAATAGTCTACAAATTGTCATTTGTCTGTTTTAAACTTTTCAGGGGGCAAAAATGATGAAGCTGATAAAAAATTTTTCTAATTAGTTTTTTCCATAAATATTATTATATCAAAATGAAAATCTGAGAGCAGTAGTGCAATCATTTAAGAAAGAAAATGTAGATTTACTATTTTTTATTCATAATGATTTACTCTTTTATAATTTATAACTAAGCATTCTATTTTCTTTTTTTTGCAACTGACCTGAAAATGCATTTCCTTTCCAGAAATATACAAATAAATAAAAAATGAAAAGCGTTTCCAAAGAGAGAGGAAAGAATCACAAAGTACAAAGTGTTCATGCTCCCAGCTATACAAAAATCTGTCACCCTCCTGTTACCATTCCCGTCATCAATAAGGTGGTGGTGGTTTTTCCGCAACCTTCCCCTCAAAAATCAATTATATCAACTCCTTTGTATACAGAAGCAGCACACCTTTCAGGCAACTAGTATTAATGAGTAGCCATGACTATAGACTCTCCATCCGTTTCTCTGACAAAGCTGTGGCTACTCTAGCCCCTCATTGAAATTCCATTAATCTGGTGTACCAAGGGCCAATGCGAAAATCAAAACTCCATCTAACCCTTTATCAGCTCACAATAACCTACAAGTGAACTCTGCCTGTTAGCATGCGGCAAGTGATGATTTTGCTATCAATCAGGCAGTTGGCCAATAAAAAATAGATAAAAAGCCAGGCTGGAAACAGTGTGTCTGGCAGGGCCCGAGACTTGGTTTCTGTTCTCTGCTTTCTTCCACGTTCAGTTTCTATGGGGTGTCCGGACTTGTGAGAGCATGCGTTATTCTCCTTGGCTGTGATTTAATTGCTACCAGCAATCAAGTCGAAGCATCACTGAAGTGTGCTTGAATTTCATTAGAAGATATAACTTATGCTACTTTCCTACAGTACCTAATAAACCATAAAGAAACCAAAACACATATGGCTTGGGGGAATAACTGGAAAATTAGGTGGCCATTTGGGAACGGAGTGAACTTTTGAACCAGAGGAAGAGAGAAAAAGAAATATTAAAGGGAAGACAGATTTAGAATGCACACAGAGATGTGCAGGTTTGACCTTTTCAGTACCTTGAAAATTACATTAGCATTATGAAAAATACATAGCATGCTTGGAGTTTATAATCCATCAAAGTTGGGATGCGCTGTTAGTGCCTACCATAAGGTAAAAGTCAAAAGGACAAAACAACAATCTGATTTGACAAAGGCCTTTTGGTGACCTGTGTTAATTTGGTTATACTTATTGTTAAATGTATTTTTTTTTATAATTAATACACCATTAGAGCAAGGTCACATAATGAAGGAAAAATTATTCAGGAAAGGAAAAGGAACTAACTGATATGATTAATACTTTAGAGTAAAATGCATAGTCCAAGTGAATTGTAGAATGACAATCTTATGAGAAAACTGAAAACTATCATATGTATATACCAGAAATAAGTAATACTTAAAGTTAAATTTTCAATCTGCTTAAGAATTGCTTATTTAAACATTTAAGTAAAAAGTGCTTCTATTTAATCAAAATTTGGTCTTATTAAATACTATTTAATAAAAATTTGATGTTATTAAACACAAAATATAAAATTGATGATAGTAAATGTTGATAAAGATGTTTAAACATCTGATCCCCTTTCATGTTATTAGTGTCCTTCCAACATTCTTAGTTGTGTAAATGAACATGGTACTTTTTTTTCATGATAAAGGAAATCTAATAATCATGTAAACAGCATCCTAATTTAACAAGAATTCAATTTGTCTGACAAATCATTAGACGATTTCTGGCTCTTACAGTATTTCTTGAATTTCTTAGGTTTTAATTTTTTAAGAGTATACACTATGCTCCCATGTGCTTCAAGATACTTGCTATTGTGAGACGTTTTAAGTATACATACTCTATAAAATATAAATATATGTGTGTGCCATATGTGTATGTATGTACACACACATATATAAACATCCTCTTGGGCATCAGTATTCTCTATGCGTGTATACACATACACATACTCATTGTACTACTGTACTACAGAGAAGCAAAACAAATCATTGTAATGATTCAAAAGTAGTTCAACTTAAATGATGATTCCCCAATTTGCTTGGAAACGTTTCGTCGGCTCTAAAACATTTTCTACAAGCAGTGCTTCTGAAGACCAGGTGAGAAAGGGCAATGCTCTGTTTTGAAGACTAAGTGGCACTGGAGAGAAATGCCGTGCATGCTTTCAAAGGCTGGGACAAGCATTGAAAGCCAAGCATCCTTCCTTTAGAAGTAGACATGAAATGTTTGCTAAAATGTAAAATCCAACAGAAAGTGAATATGATTATTGCTACACATTGTACAAAGTTCTGAATATAAAGAAAAGATTGTGTTGTTCTGAATCAGTGGTTAGAATGTTTATCACTTATGCATGTACTTGACTTATCCCTGCTCTGCAATAGATATAATTTTATACCTCATAAAAGCAATTTATGTTTCCAAAGGGAATAATCTGGATAACATAAAATGTGGAGTGCTCTGTTGCAGGAAGCATATTTTCATTCAGCAATTGTATTTAGAGATGGAACTGCACGGCTTGATCATCATATAGTGGCAGAAGGCATTATTCACTTCTCTGTCTACGTGAAACTTTGAGTGCCACAAATTAATATGCATGGCTAATCTATTGATACGCATTCTTGATGTATAACTAACTGTATAGCGTGCTTATAAGGTTTCTCAACTAGCCACTATGGCGAAAACACATACTATGGCAAAAATAAGTTTCATAACTTTTATAACATTTGGTAATTTTTAGGAATTGCTAAGAGATAATCAACTTTACTACTGATTCAATTAATAGATGACATAATATTCGTGCATAATACAGGGAATTTTTAAGTGAAATTAGAAAAATGAAAAGTGTGTATTAAGAGAAGGATTTGAGGAAAAGCTGTCTCAATGTAAAAAGGGCAATGTAGCAATAATTAATTTAATATTTCATGAACCCATTTTGTGTGGTTTTCAGGAAAAAAAATAGATCAAAAACCTATTTCATTATTTATAAAATTAATAATACAACAAGCCATTAGGCAGCACAATAAAATTAAGCAAGAATCTGATAATAATGAATTAAGCAACAGTTACTACTACTACTAATACAATGATGCAAGAAATCCCCCCCAAACTACAGTGACGAAATCGTCCTAGGAAAAGCAGCAAGGCCAGCCGTAGGAAAGCCTCAGTTTGCTCCTAGAGCCACTAGAGAGAGCTCTTCCGTTCCTAAAAGGACCTGGCAAAGGTGAGTGAGGAGAACCCCGCCTTGCTGAGCTTCCGGACAAGGCCCCTCCCTCCACACATGGCACGGTCTGTCAGTCAGTACATTCTACGGGGAAATGCCACATACCATCTGAGGGGCCGTCGTCGTCTTTATCAAAACGTTCTGAGGCCAGAGAAATCGTGTCTGGTGTCCCCGCAAAAGGGTCATCATATTCGTCCCCATCTTCTGCATCCCCTGTAAAGGAATCAGAAAAAAAATTCCATGTAAAACAATGCTACTTTGTTAGAAGTAAATTTTACTATTCAATTCAGTCACTGATATGGAAACATGGAATCAGGTAAAAACAGAGCCTATTTTCATTTATATCCAATGCAATTTAGATATAGAAGAGTTTTTTAAGGCATGAGTATTTTTTATACAAAAGGATAAAGTCCCAAAATTATATTCTACCAAGAATATAAACAGTAGAACAGAGTATATATCCAAACAGTAAAACAGAGCATATATACAAAATAAACAAGAAACTGTCATTTAAAAAAAACACAGGGAAAGCACAGCTAAAGAAATGACTAAAGTTAGACCATTTATCTACTCAACAATTGGCAAAATTATGACAAGAATTGGGTGGTGTCACTGCTGTGATCATTTGATAAGTTTCGTCATCAATCACAGAGCTCTATGAGCGTAAATTACGAACAGACCGAGCTGCGCTGTGAAGTGTGGGAAGCCTCTGAGGGTAAAAGCTACTTTAAAACTTATCAGCAGTTTAAGTTAAAACAAATTTGGTTTATGAACTCAACCCCTTCAGTTTTTATTCAGTGATATCCTTAAAAAAAAAGAATGCCAATTTTGTATTTGATTTACAAGTCCAGAAGTTTTCAGTTCTGTTTTGTTTTTAAGTCATTTCATCCTCATGATAGAATCTTGTGTGGTTTGAGTTTCTATCAACCCTACCCCCATAATTTTGTTAAAGGAATCAAATTTCCTAGCCTTGTTAAATGAAGGCACTATTTTGTCATCCAGTTCTACAACAACAAAGAACATGTACTTAATATTCTATCAAGTATCTACCTGCTGAATAGTAATTTTAGAGAAGAGCAGCCTCCTCAGGAATGACTTGCAAGGACAATGGGAATTTCTGAAGGTGTGATGTGGGACTCGGGACTTCAGAAGCACAGCTCCCAGGCAAGTCCAGATTAGGGCTGGGACTCAACATGCTTCTCAATCATACTCTTGGGAGAGAAATAGTCTCTTTCAAGACAATCCTGTCAAAGCTAACAAAAGAGCCGGTGTTTTTTTCTATTTTCTTATGATTTTTCTATTTCATCGGCCTTCATCATCATGATTCCAAAAGTCTAAATACGGACATCTTCCATCAAGACAATAAGAATGAACAATAAAGATAACAACCTTATTGTCTTTAGTGATTCCACTATTCAGAACATGGTAACGTTTCTTCCCTCATTAAAATTCCAAGAAACACGTGTAAATATTAGTCCTTCTTCATATCACAGTCTTCTCTGTTAACAGATGTTTGAAATACTTTTCAGAACATTCATCGGTCCCTTACAATGTCTCTCTTATGAGAGTGTTCTACTGTATAATATGAGGTAAAAAGTAATCTCACAAAGTGTTCATAAAAATAAGCTTGAACATTGAATGACATTCATGGGACACAAATCAGCCAAGGAAACAAAAGTTCCCATATCTTCTTCACAAACCAAAATTTTATAGTGTGAATGTTCTGAAATATTTTACATGCACTGTAAAAGAAGTCTTGCTGCGGCAAAACAAGGGTAGTAGGGTACTTCAAACACACCCCTAAAATGCAGCACTTCACGTACGGCAGTATGAGGAATATAAAAACACTAGTAAGGCCAATGAATATACATGGAAAAGGTCTTGAAAAATTCAGCTGCTTAGGTGTGAACCGCTTAAGCTCGTTGAGGAAATGAGCAGGAAAATAATTAAAACTAAAGACTTTGGAGAACAGAAGCAATTTATTATCCTGCTATAATATCCATTTTACATATGGATATAAGGAACCTTGATGGCATGGTGGTTAAGCACTTGGCTGCTAACCAAAAGGTCAGTAGTTCAAATCTACCTGTAGCTGTGCAGTCAGCTTCCCGAAAGATTGACAGTCTTGTAAACCCTATGGGCAGTTCTACTCTGTCATACAGTCACTATGAGTCAGAATCAGCTCGATGGTAATGGTTTCAAATTTAGTGAATATACGTGCATATACACATGTGCAAAATGTATTGTATGTGCATATATCTAATACATATATACACATATATGCATACATAATCTATATTTAATACATGTTTGATGTATCATTATTAATCTATAAACAATATGTAATATGAGTTAAGAATATTTTATACAACTCGGCCACTAACGTGTTAAAGATTTTTGTGGGTTTTGTTTTTCTAAAACACTTCATGGCTTATGTAGTAAAGTGAAATTGTCATCAATTTATCCATTCCAAGAACTGCAGAGAAGCACAAGTGTTGTTTTTGCTGCCCTTGAATTAACTTAGAAAGTAAAGAACCTCTATAATATCTCTACAGACTACGTAAGTATTTAACTTGCATTTAAGCTGAAAAGATATATCATTTTTCAAGATCTTTTTTCATTTTACTATTGTTTCAGGGATGGTCCATCAACTTACACTCTCCCTACTTTTTCTTTTTTCAATCCCAATAAAGAGTAAAAACCGTTGTCTTATAAGAAGCTTCAAGTGAACACAGGGGTCGCTGTTGAGTAGTGCAAAGAACTCCTCCTCCCCAGGGGCTGGGTATTTGCAGTTATACCTGCAAAGACTTCTATAAATTAAAAGGAAAATGTTCAACTTGTGTTTATGTAATAGAAAACTGAACTCCAAATGAACAATGGGCATCAGGTAAACGTACCCAATACAATTTAAGGCATAATTGAAAGCATTACAGCCTAATCAGACATCCAAAAGAAAGGCGTGCTCAAATGAAATGTCTACAGAATCATTAGTTGGCAGCCATTCGATTACAATCACACATAATGTCAGCGGTGCCTTGAGCCCGTGCCAATGACAACAGCATAAATTCTGCATCTCATTTCTGTGGTCGTAAAATTAATGATCAGTTTAAAAATACTTCTTTGTAAAAGTTATTGCACAAAGAAAAGACATGAATGTGTCCCTGTTATGCACTCACCAGGATAATTACAGGGTTGTTGCTCATTAATACTGTTTCTTGTTTCCCTAGAAAAGCATTTGATTTATCCCACAACTTTCAAAAGTTTAATTAACGATACAAAGTTAGCAGTTTCAGTGACACCGATCCAACACTTCCCTCCCTATAATTTCTGTGGCAACTTAACCACCACGGCAAAATCAAGGTTTAGTTGTACGCCTGCAGCATATCTCTGTGAAGGGTATTTTAAAATTTAGAATAGCTGGGTTCAAAGCGCTATTCTCCATCTGGTGTCTATGGCCCTTCCTCAGCGAACATGTTACTGAAAACGCAACCTGCAGCCCAGTGCCAACCGGTACAGTCATGCTCTCCACACCTGGGAAGGTGATCTCACCAATGTACTTGCTTGTTGTGCCTCACAGCCCCAGCTTAAACACAAGCAAGTAAATGTCAACCCAAATGATATGCCTAAAATTCGGTAATAATCACCCCATCTTACAGGTTGTATAAAAGGCAAACTTGGGGTCGGGGAAAATTATCTGAATACAAGCATACTAATTTCTACTTCTCTACTCACTTCACTTAGCCAAATGAAATTCTCAAATAATAATGCACAGCTAAATAGGATTGAGTGCTTCATCTGTCATTCAATGAGAACCGATAGTTCGGCTCCTAAAACTTTGGAGTTTTTTGGTCAATGCACATAAAAAGATTCTTCTTGCAACTCGTCTCATGCCAAACTGGGGCAGAGTCTTAAAATAAATCCTTATTTCTCAAGGACTAATTCCACTAGCATAGGGCCCCAAATCTCAAGCATGACGATCACATTTATACAAGGCTGAGGGTGGACAGGCTGCAAGTTATTTGCACCGATTTCATAGCAGAGCTCATTTTCAATAGAAAACACACTCTGTTAGGAAGGGATACTAAACATCAATGCAATCTTCTGACATTTCTGCTTTTCTTAAGGATCTTATTAGGACAAACTGAAATGGGTTACCTCTGACCTAGTAACTGTGCTATTCTGAAAATTAGTCCATTAATGAACTTGGGAAATTGTGGGAGGAAATTGTTTTTAAGTCAATGTCTGTGTATGTATCAGCATGAGTGGCATCTTTAAGATAAAATCTATTTGTTTTCTTTTGTTTTTGTATTTTTGCAATAAGACTTTTTAAAGGAGAAAATGAGAATGTTTAAACTATGGCATCTAAATGAATCAAAAGCAATTTATCCATATTTTTAGCAACTGTAGACATGAATACAAATTTGAAAAAATACATATTCTCTTCAAATATGTGTCTCGTGTTCACGTGTGCCCTTCTTCTCAGAATTTATTATTTCCTCAAAATTATTTAAACCCTTTAAAAATTTATTTAAATCCTTATTGTGTGAATTAATGTTTATGTAAAGACTCTTGACAAGGCTGACCCTGAGAATATGCACTAACATTTGCTGAGCAGCAACTCGGTGTCATGCTCAGGTATTATCGTATTATCCTACTTCAATAAATCGCTCTCTAAAGAAAATAATCACACCTAAATCATCACTAGAGTAAAACGAGATTGATACCGGGTCAATATGCAACTATAGGTAAAATTTTACTAAAAAATTTTAATTTATACAACTTTTACTACAGAGGTACATCTTCATCACCAAAAAGTATATTATTTCAAATTATATTTCAGAGAGCTATATGACTTTACAATGAAAGGGTAAACAAATTCGAAAATAATCAGCACAATTTTAGTGCATTAAACCTGTATTCAGGAGTACATTTTAAGTACTACGCTGCAACAAAGAACAGAACATTGGAGTTAGAGAGTTACTCCCATGTACAGTACTTTGAAGGATGTGAGAAAAAAGAAATGTATTCTAGATGATAAGGGAAATTTTCAGACAGATAACAGGAGCTTGACTAAGCAAGATGAGTTCTAGTTACTGAGATTCAAATGATTTCCTAATTACAAACAAAACTACGGAATTCAGAAAACCAAGTGGTAATTATTCACAAGTCCCAACTGGTCAGACCACTTCCATGGGGACCTGGCCTTCAGTACGTATGTACCAGATAAAATGTGAACCTAGAGAAATTAAGAAAAGAGCAGGTTCAAATCAACAATTTTCTACAGAAATGAATACTGGAGAGCAAATAGGAAATTAACATAATGGCCAGGCTTCAATATTTAGGAGTCAGTGTAATTAATCAAGTAAGTGTTTACCAATACTAACTTGTTTCCACTAACAGAAACTGAAACACACACACACACACACACACACACACACATACACACACACACACACACACAAAGTCTTCTAAGACCTCAGCAGTTTACTGTTTCAGCACTGGATTAATGCAATTCATCGAAAGAACTGAAATGTGTCAAACTGTGCATTCCGTACTGTTAAACCTCACGAAGGGGCAGTCATCGCAGGTGGGAGGACGGGGTGAAGACAGGAAAGACAGTGGACACGGGTGTACATTAGAAAAGCTAGCGTCAGCCTTATTAAAAGTGTGTCCATCTGAATTAATTTTACTTGAGAGTTGTCTACATGGCTCTTGCTTGCCTCTCGATGATATGAAGGTAATGCAGAATTGCCCCCTTTCAAACAAAAAACTCAGTTTGTGAAGCAAACAGGGGCATAAAGGTAAAAAAGGCAGAAAACAGTCTGTGGTTACGGCACCGTGACCCCATGTTGACCTGAGGAGGGAGAAGGCAGAGAAGGAACAAGCAGACAGCCAGGAGCAACCCTGCCTGGGACACCTTGGCTGGAGATGACCCACAATTCTGAGGGGCAAAGGTAGGCAGAGAAGAAGGAAAGCAGCCCTATCACACCAGTCTTTACTCCACGCAGAAACCAAGATCCTTAAGAAAGACACTCTTTTTCGTATTCCTTGAATAAACACTTGCAACTATTAAACCTACATCAATTTCCCTTTACTATTCCTACCGAACTACAGGGAGAGTCTTTTTAGGCCAAAGCTGAACGTAGTTTGAGACCACAAGGGCATAAAATTACTCAGTCTCTCATGTCTCTAAGGTAAACATCTCATCATTTATCCAACACCCTTACTTTTAAGCAAGCATTCTTAGTGATTAGTTAACTCAATACATCAATATTGAACTGCAAATGACTTATTCACAGGAAAATGATTATGGGGGATCACAGAATTCTGTGTTATGTGGATTTTTATCCTAGGTTCATTTTTCAATTTCTACCTCGTGCCATATAAAAACTTCCATTCTCTTTAGAGATAAGGAATATATCTTAGTAATGTGATTTTAATAACCACACACCTGCACAAGTCTTAAAACAGAATACCAAAGGGAACGTTCCTATCCTATTACTGAACTGCATGCAATTATATGATGACTTCATATTACCAGGCTTCCCTAGCTTAGATTTTTTTTAATGTACAAATAATTAAGTCATATCCAGAATTCAATAAATCCTGAAGAAGGGCAGGATGTTACACCTAATATCTACCCTATAAATAAAGCACCGTATGAAAGTTACAACCATTAAAATGCATATTCATTTTTTTCTGTAGCCAAACAAAATGTAACGTGATGCAACTCACGGTTTAAGATTCACCACAGACTACTCCCAAAAGTGGTTACTCTAGGGGGGAGGTTCCTTCTCTCTTTATTGAATTCTATCAAAACTTTTACTGGGGGAGGAAAACTCATCTCACATCCTCAAATCGAAACACAGTGGTCTTGGTGATTTGAAGTCACACACACACACACACACACCCTGTGGTTTCCTTTTAACTCTTTGATTTTAGGTTTGTCTGGTTAAGTGCTTGGTTTACGGAAACTGTCATTACCCTCCCACTTATCAGTCGGCACAGATATAAATTACCCTGTGGTTATCTGCTAACTGGAGCTAAAAGATGCCATATTATGATTTTCCCCCAAGCCCAGAACCGAATCCAGTGGAGGGTCACTGATCTCACGCTGTGATCCACCCCCTCCCCTCACCAGCACCCACTGGCTTCAGGTCATGACCCCAGAATTAGCTTTCTGAAAGTAAGGGCCAGCCCAGTTTCTCTCACAGACCTGAAGGCTTCAAGTAGCAGAAACGTCCTGCCTCTTTCCTGACCTGGTTTTCAGTTCTCAGTTAAGCAACTGTCTCTCAACTCCATCAAGCGACCAACACTTTCACATATTTCAAGAAAAAGAAATGAATTCTCTTTGAAGATTCGGGTGGCACACACTTCATATCTAACGTACCACACAGAAAATAAACGCTGGCTTTTGAAAAACATTGTGTTCATGTTTTCCCTGAAAACAAAATTTTGGATGGCTTTTAAGACCATTATTCTCCCGAAGCCGTGCCTCTGAGCCCCAGCTCTCCAGCGCTCACCCTTACTGCAAGTCATCTCTGTAGTGTTAAGTGTGGTGGGCTCTCATCTCCTCCACGCCACGAAATGTATTCCATGTGTAACCACCGGCATATACTTGTCTTATCAAATTTCTGCCCCGTGACAACACAGAAAACTAGCAATGCGGAGTCTGGGAGATTCCCGCAGCCCATGGCTGAGCAGAGTAAATTCCAGATGCCCTTTTCTATTCCCCAGCAGGGGGAGCTGGCACTCTCATCTTGAAGGCCTATGTAAACAACATAGAAATTAACATTTTGATTCCAATTATCAAAGTTCAGGAAGTCTTAGACGGTCCTGTTGAAAATCTCCACAAAGGATGAAAAAAATGTCCAGTTTTACAAACTTGAAAGTTTACCTTTGTCTTGAGATTCCTGCAGATAGCTGTAAAACAAAGTAAGAACATGACATTTTAAAATGAGGGCTTTAAAATAAAATAAAAAGAAAGCCTAGTCAGGGGCAAAAATTCTATTTTAAAAATCATTAAATTAAATATACATTTACCAAAACAACTATTACATATGGTGAAATGACAATTCTAAAAGACTTAATGATTTTATAATAAATGAATTTTAATAGTTATAACTTATAATAGTAAAATCAGGAAACAACTTGAATACCTACAATTTATGTTACCATTACTTACAGTACTAACAATGAAAAGATTTTTTTTTTCATTAGCTGAGGTATTGTCTGTATTTACATTAAAATCCTCAATCTGCCTTACAATATATAATTTACGTATGTCCCCACATAATCAAAACAGTCTTATTTTACTAGAATGCTTAGAGCTATATAAGATACCAAAAAGAGTATTATAAGTATGTGTAGTTTTTTAAACCATTACAGTAAAAACTTTGTCCTCTAACAATGTTTAATACCAATTATGATATAACATTAAAAATGTAACCAATGATACCAAATTCTTTATTAAAATGTTACTTACAAAGTTACTTCTAAGTAAGAAATCAGTAATAAAAGTCAAGTGACTTACACAGACTTTACGTCTTTTATTTTCTTAATAAGAGCATCTCTTTTTTCCTTTGCTTTCTTGGATAAATTTTCCCCTTTCAGTGTGTCTGCTACAAATGTTTCAACATCTAAAACAAGAAAGGTAAGAAATAGGATACAAATTATAGGAATCACTTTTTTGTGAAGACAAATAGGGCAATAATTGTTTCCAGCCTTAAGTGTTAATATCTGTACAATTTGTTATAGTTATTTATCAACCCAAAGCATAACAGCTAAAGTATCTTTCAAATACTACGTTGGACAAATCTATTCGCTACTTAGGGAATAAAATTTGTATGCTCTACTTATGCTTAGCACAGCAAACGCTATTGGGATGTTTGCACCATTAAACCAGGAAGCAGCACACAAGTTTTAATAAACTGTGGTGCCCCATAAAACATATCCTCTCACATAAAAGCAAGCACTGAGCTGTTATGCATGTGTCAGTATCATTTTATAGTATCCTGTAACTTCCTTTGTGAACAGGTCATTCACAATATGATACCAACATAAACTAATGTCTCTGGCAAAGGCTTGTTTTTCTCAGTGTAATCCATTTTCAGGTATACACAATGCTTAATGTTTTAAAGGGGGGAGGAGCTTCCCAAGTCGCCTCCTCCCTAGCTGCTCTGACCACCCAAATATGAAAAGGAGAACTAGTCCCCCGTGGTTTGTGAGCTCTGAGCTCTCGCTTCCTGCTGTGGTATCGTCACCTGGAAATACGAAATGAAAGAAACACAACATTTTCATGAGCTCTTTTTTTGAAAAAGGAAATTTCTAAATTATTCTGCTGTATAGCTAGCCCTCTCATAAAATTCTAACAAATCTTTGTGGGTTTAATTTTATACTAGCCCCACTCTTATTGGTTACTTCTAATGCCATATTTTATACCCTACAACTCTAAGTAATTTTTTTTCAGAATTTTAAAATTCCTTTTGAGAGAGGCTAGAGAAAACAAATCTTTTGAGTGGGTACGGCTGAAGCATCCATATTTCATATTAAAGTTATCGTGTTTGGCTTTCTTTTTTTATTTAACTACTTTATCTCCTGACTCATACAGATAAAAGGATAGTACCAAATATATATCAATATTATGCACAGATATAATACAACATGTCAGTGTAACAGAAGCAGTATCAGAGTCTCTCAGCTACACTTACTATCAACAATCTAAAACCTAGCACTTGGGATAGCATGTAATCGATTTCAAATTCTGGATCGCAATTAGAAAGACCCTGAAGCAATGAAGGGAAAGTTTGTTCGACTGCTATGGTCTGTTCATTCATAATAAACATGCAAAGGTGATGATGCTTTACTAAGCCTATATGCAAGCATCAAAATGTAACCTTCTAATGCTTCTTTAAAATCTATAATTTGGGGGATTGAAGTCCACTAAGGTACTAAAATGAGCCATCACAGCCTCTCTTCCCTTGACTTGTTCCCATTTTGAAGAGGGGCAGAGAGGGAGTTAAGAAAACGGGTCTAAAGTAATGAGACCCGTGCAGCAGCACTGACCTCTGGGGACTGTCACAGCCAGAGATACAAGTGACATTCCCATTCAGCTGAAAGGGGACGACCAGGGGCTTCCCTGAGCGGCTGCAGTCTCTCTGGCAAAGGGCGGGCGGAGCAGCTTCTCTTTCAGGTTCGCAAGTTCTTCGACTAGACTCAATCCTTTGGAGAACCACCGGCACGATGTCTGCTTAATGCTATTTCCACTTGGAGTCTGTCTTTTTAATTCCTTCTTCCATGAGTGTCTAATTGCCTAGTTTACATTTCCATTATACAACCCAAGTTTAAACACACAGGATCTATTTTGTATATCCGGAAGCAAGAACAGAACGAATTACAGCCCAAGAGGGATGTCATTTTGTTTCCATAAAACCTCAAAACACATAAAAAGCTGCCATGCTCCATGCAGTGTTTCCTAGCTCCGCCCCCATCCTCAGGTCATACTTTAGGAGTAAATCAGGCTCTTCTTGATGAACTGTGTGTGGAAAGAGGGGTGGGGGCGGGCGGAGGCTCCAGGAAGAATCCTTGGCTTGTTTTGTTTTGAGTTGGGAGGTGATTCCGTGATTGAGAAGAAAAGACGAATTTTCAGAGAAATTTGGCTTTTTTAAATTTTTTCCTAAATTTATCTCAGAAGAGGTTTAAAGTCAATAATAACACTGGGTTTTTTTAGGGGTAATTAGTTCTCACAGGAGGTGTGAGAAGGGCAGCATAAGATCCGCTTTTCTTTTAAAAAGGGAAGAAGAGGAAGGAGGAGGAGGAGGAGGAGGAGGAACTTTACAGAAGTGGTTCCTGGAATAATCCGAGTTTGCTGGTTGTTGGTAGCTTCCTTTTGTGAACTTTTGAAATCTGGGTTATTTCTGAAACCCTCCTGCCTCCATTTTCCCCGTCCCCGTCCCCCCCACCACCACCACCACCATTTGATTTTGGGTCAGCTAAGGGCACAGGTGAGCCCTGGACTTTCAGGGGCTGCCTTGGCAGGGTCCCTTAAGAAGACAGAAAGGGTCCCCCAGCACGGAGCCAGTGGCCCAGGGAGTGCTGAGCCCTGAGGCGCTGTCACTGAGTCGGAGTGGGGAGCACGGGGCGTGGGCAGTCCCACCCCCAGATAACCGGGGCTGGGGCTGCTGCGTTGCAGAGCAGAGCCAGGGTGATATTTCAAAAGTGAGCAATGAAAGTCGTGGGCAAACCCAGTGCTCTCTGGCTGCTTGCCAGAGGGATTTGAAGCCCTTGAGGAGCCCAGCAAACCATCCACACGCGGGCGGCGTGCCCGCCTCTTCTATCTTTCTTTAAGGGTCCAGCCCTCCCTTCCCACATCACCCTCACTGCCTGACATTCCTGGAATATCATCATTTGATTACAAGGAAAGGTCTGTCTTCCCTGCTCACCTCCTGGCCTGGAATTAGAACTTCGTGGACCTCGGAAAGGGAGGTTCTACTCACACTGGCAGGAGAAGAGAGGAGGGGAGCTGGAGCCCAGGGAGTGCCCCAAAGCATCAAGTCTAACCCCAACCCTTGCCCGGGGAAGACCAGTGCACAGTAGGTCTCCGTGCCTACAATTAACCCAAGAATGACTCCCATCTCCATCTGCCCCAGAGTCATAAAGGGGGAAAAGTTCTCCCAGCCAGTCTAAATGTGGTGATTGTGTCTGCTCCTGCTCCGTACACCTTACCACTGTCAAAAGGGAAACTTCCGCACCCAAGCCTGGGGTTCAGATTTATAATGTATAATTGGACTGTTTGTTGTACATGAGAGGGCTGCTGAAAGGGTTAGATTTGCAACTGCTCTGAAAATAAATGTAGAGTCTGAATTTTTTAAAAATGTCAACATAGCTTAGCAATTCTTAAGCAAATAGTTTGTTAGAAACCCCTCAAAAGCCAGCTTGCTCCCTTAGAGGAGAGCATTTAAGACACACGGAGTGCACTCCGCTTTAACGTCTGTGTATGTGCGTGCACAGACCCCCTAGAAAACTGCCAGCCTTCTTCCCCTAAAATCCTGAGGGGTCTGGAGGCAGTTACCACACACAATTGCAAACTCCCCACCACCCTGCTGTGAACATCCTAAGGATGGCACAGGGAAAAGGCAGACCCCTCCGTGCACGGTTGGCACAGCCTTGGCATTCTTGGAAATGACCAACTCTTGGCTTTGCAAAGCTGAGCTCTCACTCTGGAAAGCTCCCTGTCCCCCACCAGCAGCCTGGACTAGGACTTCAGCCAGAAAGTGTAACAAGTCACAAAGGTAACAACCCTGTTTGCCCCACCAAACCCCCCAACTTACTCAATACCCCTCACACACACACACACACAGCCTGTGGGGGCTTGAACTGTAGATGGGAAGGGAACAAGAAGTGGACTGACTACCACCATTTGCTCTGACCTGGATCAATAAAGTAGCTGTAAAAACACCCCAAATGGCTCAACTACTTGTACCTTGGCTCCCTCTTCTTTATGAATGGGGTCAGATTTCACTGTGTACTCCCTGAGACAAGCTTAATTCAGTAAGGGTGTTCGGTTTAGAATTTAAGCTGGCTTCAGAACAACAACAGCAAAAAGACATGTTCTTTTCTTCTCTGTTAAAGGGGGTTGGAGAAGTCATTTTCCAACCAAACACCTACTGGTGAAAGCATAAATCAATTAAACTGGGTAGATGCAGATCAATGGAGTCAAATGCCCAGGGCTGGAAAATGGCTAATTGAAAAGTTATTGATTGTTCTAATAAATGTCTTTCTCTGGCTTATCTAACATTTTTATAGGTTATGTCGAAACCGAACTTTGTTTCAACAGAACGGGCAAGAGGAGTGTTCACAGTAGAATGGGTAAAACATACCCGAGCCTTACAGGCCAGTGATCTGAGAAATTTCTCAGAATTGGCTGGGGAAGGTAAGTGACTTATTCTGATAGAAAGCTGTACTGCTAAAGGATAAGGCTGGGTATCTTTCAACCTCTAAAAGATGACTTTTGATAAATAGCTCCTTGTAATAATCAAAATCTTTTTACCGTGCATTTTCAAAGAAGCCATGGTGACTAGCACATTAGTCTGAGATTTACACAAGCCTCACTTGCAGGCAGCAGCTATTGTAATGGGTTCGGAGCGTGATTGAAAAAGAAATGTAAACTCGCTGAAACGAGAAAGATAGACTTGGCTTTAATTGAAAGAGACAAACTAAGTGACTAATGAGTATATAAAAACTAGCCTATGCCACTTTTATCACCCATATATGACACTTAATCTTAAATTTATGAGTGGCAACGGAACTGTGTCTCAAATCACCAGAGGCTTTTTCCTATTCTGTTGTTTCTAGCTCTTTCTAATAGTACGCTAAAGCTGATAACAGCAAAGAGACACTCAGGGAATCTTTCATATGCTGCTCATTTTTCAGTATATTGAGATTCTTTTTAAAAGACAAACCGATGATAGTTGGGATTGATTAACTATTAAAATGGTACATAATTCAAGAACCTCACTTAGTAATCAGAGATGAAAATACTTTCAATGAGAGCCATAGGGAAGAAGTCAGCCAAAAATTTTCTCCCAAGAAAAAAGCAAGATGCTATATATTTAGAATAAGCAATCTTCCAAATATCACACCTTAATAATGTCACCCATACAAGTAAACTCTACAAAAGGTCCTGGATCCCTTGATTTAGAAACATATATTCTGATTTCTAGATGAGCAAGTCAGAAAGGTGGCCTGGACTGGTTTCATTTTGAGATCAATTGTTTTTATACCACTCTCATGCTCATTAGTTACTTCTGCCAATAGGACAGGCTTGGTCTTGCCCTACAGAAAAATCAGGTGCTAAACAAGTAGGTGAGTCTTGGTGACTCAGTAGGTGGCACTCTTCCCTTTAGATACTCAGTCAATGCCCCAGAAGGAAGGGGCACCAGATACACAGTGAATCCTGTTCATAGGGGGAAAAAACAAATCAAATCAAAATGTTGACCGAATTAAACGTGGAATCTTGGGAAAGGCAGCATTCAAAGACACCACACTCCACACCAGGCATTGTTTAAATGTTGTTTCCATTTTTATTGAATTGCATCTTTTACATAAACAAGATTGTGCTTGTAAATCCTACCTTAAAGGGAGTAAGTATCCTTTTCTCAATGGGGAAAGTTTTCACTCTCTTTTTTTTCACATATTCTCAGCAGTCCCCCCAGGGAAAAGTGCAATGGTAAGACTGCCATGTGAATCAAACCTCACGGTCCTGTTTGCAGAAACCAGAGAGCCACTTTCTTTTATGTTGGTCTGCTTATGCTTCGGTTCTGATTTTTCAGCGTACTGGTAACAACTAATTTCTCCTTTGGCATTTTTTCCTTGAGAAGGGGGGAGGAAATCTCTTACAACTTTCCTTTTTAAATTTGTTGTCCTAAAAGATAGTCATCTGATTGCAACCTACTAACACCCCAGGGTTCAAAGGGTAATCTAAACAAACGGATAGAAGGGGAGTGACTTGTTCCTTTCCTTTTCTTGCCTGCCCAGAGGAAAAGCTCATATAAATCAAGATTATCCTTGTTAGTCCTACCCAAAATATTTGGATGGATTCTGGCGAGGATTAAATGGACAAATTTGGGGATTATCCTTTGATTTTATTTATCCATCCTAAATCTATTCTAAGAAGCCCTGATGGCACAGTGCTTAAGGACTCAGCTGGGAATCAAGGTCTGCAGCTAGCTCCAGAAAGAGTGCAGCTTAGGAAACCCGATGAGGTCGGTACAAGCCGGAACTGTTCCAAACAACATGGGAGCGTGTTCTCCCACTTACTCTGAGAGTGAGGAGGGGTAAGATCAAAGTTCTGTGGTGCATAGAGCAGTGACAATTTTGCTTTTGAGAACAACATCTAAAAAATGTTATTCATTTCCTATGCATGTAACACAAAAGAATAATTCCACGCTTTCTAGAAAAAGGGCAAAGCCATCAAGATTTAATATGCTGGTTCCATAGGAAATAATACCAATACTGACACACTTTACAAGGGTATCATTATAGGTGAGTTAAGAACCTCTATGGTTCGAGGGTTTTTTGGTTTGAGTTGGTTTTTCTGTACAAAGCCTTTTATTTTTTTTAAGGGAAAGGAATGAGGAGGAATAAATATTGAAAAGATAACCTAAAACTGCTTTAATAGGAAAGAAAATAAGAGAGAAAAATAATAAATATGATTAGAAGAATATATTGGAGCACCAAATTCTATCAAGCAGATGAATTGTCAAGTGTTTAAAAATATAGTTGGCATACGATGATTTGAAATATAGGCACATGAGACACAAAGAGAGATGCCAGAGCAATATGACTTTGATAGGCATTAGCTTTAACTTCATATTCTTTTCTCTGGAAACAAAAAGGGGGAGTTTTAAAATTGCTGAATGTTTTGGTTTCTTCTCTGCCTTGGAATTATAGTGTGGGGAATTCCAAAAGTGCTCAACTGTTCATTACAATGAGGACTGCCCATACCTCCCCCTCCTTTCAAAGAAAAGATCTTTGGTAGACAAACGACATGTCTAAAATCCCAGCAGATGCTCACTCTTCCTCTCTAGTCCAGGAATTCTCAATCTAGGTACCCAATACACTAGTCAATATACCAGAATTATGCAAATCACCATGTACAAGCTCACCAGCATTCTTTTCTTCTTCATGAAATCAGGACCATAACTGCTGAAAGCAAGTATTCTTAAACCTTCTCTAGTTCAAAAATCAGCCCAGCATATAATCTTAATGACATTCCTTGAATGTTATTTCAAAAACATGAAAAACACTAGTTCATGTTTCTTTTCTTGCACATACACAAAAAGAGAATCACACACACAACACACACACACCCCTCTTGAAAATAACCTCTGAACAAAGTATAATGCAAACTTACGATCCTTAAAGTTTCAGTGTTTTCATAGCTGTTTTTACTAATTTGTATTAACATGTGATTTTCTTTAATTATATGCAATATTAAAAATGCCTAAAAAGGTGAATGAAAAATGAAGGCGGATTTCAAACCCTATGTTAGTATATTCTCTGGCATAGAATCATGTTGAAGTACATGGGAAGTTAACATTGGTGGAAAATATCAACATGATGTAATTCTGAGCTTTCAGTTAAATTACCAACGAAGAGCCACAAGAAACATTTGTGACCAATGAGGGTTAGATAAACTATTATGGATCCAAGTAGCCCCTGATTATTGTGGAAACTGCCAAGCTTTAGAAACATACACCCAGAGATCTACACTTTATTTCAAAAATTCAAAAAAATCAGACCTAGAGAATCCTGACAAATGGTGAGATCTATTTTTGCAATAAATGATAAATACTTTTCTGATAGTTATTAGAATAACATCCTAAGCAACAATTCCAGCATTTTACCAACAAGAATTGTAGCAGAACAAAATCAGTGTGCATGTCAAACTCATATAATGGAACAAAAGGAGCCTTAAATCAGTTTTTACAGTTCTTTCACTATATTTCCCTTGGTGGCATCCATTAATGGCAACCAACATCTCACAGGAGGAAAAACTATCCCACCACTGATGCACTCATCCACACAGAATGAAGTACTACAAACCCAGTCACCAGTCGTATACTACTGGCTTTATTTGCAACCCTAACAACCAAAATAATTCAGCATCATACTAGCTTTGGTCTCACACTGCTATAGCAATGACTGAGTGTGAATTTTTGGATGTTTTTGTTTTTGAGAATTAAAAGAAGAAACTTGTAACATGGGCATTTAGGAGAAACTTTGTAAATCCAGCTACTCATGGGCAGTATTCAAAAGTAAGTCTTTCAGAGACAACTAAAATAAAATCCCATTTTCAGCACTCTGATGTGCACATAATAAAGTGAATTAATAATAAGGATTCCAGACCATTGGGACACATAAGATTTGTGCCACCCTAATTTTTTTTTCTCCTTTACCAGGTCCCAAACTATAAAATTTTCATGTATCCCCAGTGAAAATATCATCTGCACCTTGAGTACATTCAGTAGTCATAGTGTCAAACCATAGTGTCAAATTTTGGGAATTTTTAATTCCCAAAATAAATTCCTGTAAACAGTTATCTGAAATGGAAAAGGGGAAGATGAGGGTGCAAAAAAGAATGTACTTTTATCATTATGCGACACAGGAAGTAGGACTTGAACACATCCTTCCCTTTTCCGTCCCCCGTTTTAATGCTACTGAGGCTGAAGATATGCGGTCATTTGAGAATCAGGCCCTCTTTAATATGGGTGCACAGAATGTTCAAGGGGAAAAAAAAGGTAGCTTCAGGAAAGACAAACTCTTTCATCTGCCCGTCCGGCCCAGAACCCCTAACACCTGTGGCTCTGACGCCTGTTTGCATCTCTCCACCCTCCTCCCTCTTCAATGGGCCGGCCCCCAGAAGCTACGGCTTCGACTCCAGTTCCCTGCGCACATCTCATATTCTCACCCACATTCATTCATTCCCACACACGCGCGCACGCGCGCGCGCGGCGTCTTCACGAGTTCACGAAGAACTGTCCTGCTGCGATGACTCGTGCAGCCCCTCGCAAAGGGCTTCTCCCCGGCCCGCCGCGCCAGACGGGTGCACACACGCCCACCCTCCCTCCCTCCCACCAAACCGCCCTCTTCCCGCCCCCCGGGCCCGGAGACCCGAGCGTGGGAACAGGGGCGCGCGGAGGGGGAAGCAGGGACCCTGCAAGCTTCTGTCCCCGCCGGCTCGCCGTCTCCCCGCCCTCGCTCCCGCCCCGGCAGCGGTGCCCGCCCCTTTGCCGCTCTTTACCTGCCAACAGGTTCCTAACGTCTTCGGGGAGGGGGCAGGGAGAGGAGGTACAGCTGGGGTTGGGCATGGTAGCGAGCGCGGGGCGTGCGGGGAGGACCTGCGCGCAAAGTGGGAGCGACGCAGTGGGGCTGCGGCTGCGACCTAGACTCGGGCCGGCGGTCCCGGCGAGGACGGCGGGGCGACGAGTCCGGACGCCGCGGGGCCGGGCTCCCAACGAGGAAGTCTCCGAAGCCCCGGCCAGCAGCCGCCGGACTCTTGGCCCGGCCCCGCCCGGAAGAACGGGGCGGAGCGATGGGCGGGCCTGCGCGCGCCGGGCCGGAGGGCCGCACTGCGCACGCGCCTCCCTCCGTTTTCCAGGTGAAGGAATTACTGAGAAGCGCGTCCGGATAGGCCACGCCCCCACGCGACGTCGGGGGCGGGCGGGGGGACGTTTAGGGAGGGAGCCGGCTGCGCTGTGTCACCTGACCCGGCACCGTGAAGCTCCTTACCGCCATGATGGGTGCTGGTACCACCACAATTGCGAGCAGTTTCTCCAAGATCCCGGGAAACAACGCACCTGTAATGACTAGGAGTCTCCCGACTAAAAGACCGTCTAGCTAATGGTCAATCCTACTCAGGCTTAACTCCCTCATACTGGCTTTTCTGTCGCCTCAAACAATTCGGGCCTTCTTTGTCCTATGCAACACAGTCGCATCTTCGGCCAATGCTCCCCAGTACCCTGGCTAGAGTTGCTCCCGAGAACACGCTGATTGGCTCTTACGGTTCTTTTCTACCCAGTTCGGATTCTTGGGGTGGCTGCACCTCCAGCCTTCAAGAACAGCATGAAGTTCATGACAGCATCCTTGTGCAAAAACAAACCAGAAAACAGTGCACCACTGTCCATCTTCTAAGCTTTAAAAAGAAAACTGTTGGCAGTTACTACTAGAATTATAAAATGAATCATATGATGAATGATAAAATCTGCCCATTCCATCCTAGCCATTTAGTCAATAATATTTAGTGTTATCTAGCTGTGAAGTGTCTTACATGGTTTCCCTAAGACCCAAACAAGTTCATTCTTCGACCCATGCAGACGCATGCACACACAGTTATGCATTAATGTGCATGACTGTGTTTTGTGAGAATGTATTTGTCATCGAGGAAAATGGAGGCAGGAGAGCTATTGAAGAAAGCAGAATCAATGTGAGAAGTCTTCGGCTAGGAACTGCCAACATAGTAACCACTGTGTGTTTGATGCAAAATATCATGGGCAACAGTAGTCTCTGGGATGGTGTTCCTGTCCACCCCTGCCCCAGCTGTTTGACAAACTTTTGTTCAAAACCCCCACAAAAGTCAGCTCCTCAGTGAAACCTTTAAGTTCACTTTCCTTAGTACTGAGAGTGTGTCTTTGCTAAGTGCTAATATTGTAACATTGTACAGTGGCTCCTATTTCAATGCAAATAGTTTATTCCTTTACCCTAAAGCTCTCACTAAAGTAATGGTCCTTGAACTTCAAGGTTTTTGAAGGAGGGTTTTTCTATTAATAGTTCATCAAAACATTTCTGATGATAAAATAAATCAATCGAGGTGCTCTAGTGCTATCAGAAATGTTCTGAACCCACCAGTTGACTGGGGAGTGAGGGCGGGGGCGTTGAAGGTGCTGGGAAAGACCGGAAATCTACTCAAGTAAAGATTACAGGCTGAGATAGATACCCTTTGGGGCAGTTCTATTGTCCCATAGGATCGCTGTGAGTAGGAATCCGCACAATAGGAGCGTGCTTTCTTTTGGCCCAACAGTGGATCTGTGGTAGAATACTCACTTTCCATGTACCCTGTTTCCCCGAAAGTAAGACATCCCCTCAAAATAAGACCTACTTACAGTTTTGCCTCTCGCTGAAATATAAGGCATCCCCCTGAAAAATAAGACCTCCCCAAAAATAAGGCCCCCCGAAGCTACCGTAACTCTGGACTCTGGACCATAGTGGTGGGCGCCACTATGCAGCTCACTGTTGGCCGTAGCGTAGCCAGAGCAGACAGGAAGTGCAAGGGCTCTTTCAATAAAACAATAAATGTGTACCGTATTCTTCTTCATGGAAAAATAAGTCATCCCCTGAAAATAAGACCTAGCGCATCTTTGGGAGCAAAAAGAATATAAGACACTGTCTTATTTTGGGGGGAAACAGGGTAGGAGACCTACTGTGATTACTGGCCAATACACCTCGTATGTGGTTTATGCCACCACCTGTCAGTAGAACCGGGCATGGTGCTGAGGTGTTGAATAGATTTCAGTGGAGCTTCCATGTTAGGATGGACTAGGAAGAACGGACTGGAGATGTATTTCTGAAAAGTAGCCACTCAAAGCCTTATGGATCCCCAAGGTCCAATCTGCACTGGATCTTCAGGGTGGCACAGGACTGGGCAGCGTTCCCTGCCACTGTGTACAGGGCTGCCATGAGATGGGAAGGATCCAAGTGACTCCTTGGGAGCTACTAGTAAAAGTTTGATCTGCGTTAGAATCATAGACCCTATTATTTTGCACTTTCAGAAGTCCCTCCTCCAGAGACGCTGGTTCAGTACATTCACTGTAAAGAGAATCTGCTTTTTAAAAAGCCCTCTAGAGCATTCTAATACAAGACATCTCGAGATTTCTTTGTTTCTTTTTTTTATTTAGAAGCATTTTATTATCCATAAGCTCCTATAAGGCCCAGATTCAGGTATAACTTTCTTTCATCCCCAGCTGGAACCTTACATTTTATTTTAAGCAGCTCTGTTAATAGTTCATCAAAACATTTCTGATGATACTAGTAAAAAGAACGCAATCAAATTTAATATTGCATTTTAATAGAATTATTGAAAACACCAAAGACCTTTTGAAAACAAAAGGTAAAAGGAAAAACAAAAGTAAAAGGAAAAATGTGAACACTTGAGAGTCCATTTCTTGTCTCTAAAAACAAAACAAGCAAATGAGCAAACAAAAGACCCAAGACAAAAACTTTATGTGTTCAGAAAAATATGCAAAATAATCCAACCAAGAAACATCCCAAAATCAAATCCATTCTCCAGATTAGACTTTGAAATTCCAACCCAGATTGTAGACAGTGTTCTGAACATTAGAATTCTTTAGTGGAGGCAAAAGTGAAAAATCACTTAACAACACAGTTCCTCCAACTTCAAGAAATTGAGAGCTAGTGTCTTAAACTTCAAAATTATCTTCCTTCCTAAAAAAGCAACTATTTCATGGACATTTTATATCAGTGAGAGCCCTTCTTCTCTTTACAGTTATCACATATAATTCTCTTTGTCTTGTCACATTTTATATTAAACCGAGCCTCCAAATGCACCTATCCTTTGTTTCCTTCTGCTACAACTGACCAGATTTTTTTAATCCTTGTGTGTCATTTATTTATTTACACTCCACTCATTCCACAATGGAATTGAGGTGATTTACTCTTGTATCAAATAGACAGTTTTCTAGAGTGGATCAAACGGACAACGTCTACACCTCTCATTATGACGAGTCATTCTTGTTAGTGATAGACAGGCAACCATTGAGATTGCCTTAAAATATATAGCATCTAGGAGTCCAAATAAAAAAGGCAATAACAGAAAATGGGCTTTTTGTATGAAAGACATTTCCCTTATTTAGGAAACCATTCTCAGACAGAGGTTCATGATGGATTCACTTGGGCACTGCTTTGTATACTCTATCATTTTTACTGCTTATTGTTCAACTTACTAAAGTTGATTATGAGGCAAAGAGAAATAAAAAGAAGTTGGAAGAAATGTGTCCTTATTTCCTTTGTTTTCAAATGTTTCTATAACAAAAACTAAGAAGGAAATCAAATCATACTTTCTGTTATTTAACCAAGTCATGTTCCGGGGAGAGAAACAGGAAGGATGAAACTTTACATTTCAAACTGAGAGATGGCAGTCTTGTTACCATCCTGCAAAGAAGAGGCTAGACTCTGGGGAGACTCAAGCATTGTTTATTCAAAAGTAGATCCTTTCGTTCAAAGAAGAACACAGTTATAATCATACAGCTGAAGTTAACCCTCTGTGCCTTTCAAAATTAGTAGAGCTGAATAAAGAATTATTTCCTAACAGAATCCAAATGAGCAAAATATTGTATTTGGGCATTGTATTATATTTTGCTGAATAACAAACGTTAGCAGCTTAAAACAAATATTTATTATCTCACACGGCTTCTCATAGTCAGAAATCCATGCACAGCTTTGCTGGATGGTTCTGGCTCAGGGTGGCTCATGAAGTTACAGTGATGCTGTAGGTTGGGGGGACTTGAACATGGATGGAGGATATGCATTAAAGAGGTCTCACCCACTTGATACAGCACCCCCAGTTCCTCTTTTGTTATTGGTAGAAGGCCTCCTCGGTTGCTCACCACGTGGGCTTCTCCAAAGAGCTGCTTGAACGTCGTCCTCATGACATGACAACTGGCCTTCCCCAGACCAGGTGATCTAAAAGAACAGCCCAGTCAGAAGCTGCAATGTCCTTTACAGTTTGATCTTAGAAGTGACATCCCTTTATTGCTGCCAAATTTCTTAGTGAAACCAGACCAACTTTGCATATATGGAAGTGGGGAGAAGGACTAAACATATTGTACTTGAGAGGTAAGTCTCATTAGGGACCATATTGGATGTTGGTTACCATGATCAACCCTCTATCTCCCAATGATTCACATCCTGCCGTTTGAAAACATACTCCCAAGATGACCCCCAAAGTCTCATCTCATGATAGCACCAGCTCAAAGACCAGAATCATATCATCTAAATGAGATCCAGGTATGGATGACGGCCCTCTGCTGTTACTCCTTACAGATAGCACAGCCCCTGAAGTCCTCGTCTCTCCTCTGAAGCCCTGTGAACTGAAAAGACAAGTCATCTGCTCCTCACAGACGCCGCACACCGTGGTGGGATGGGTGGGATAGCCACTGCAGACGTCCCTGTCAGCATGCTGAAATCCAACCAGGAAATGCTAGAGTTACTTTGATAAGGGCGCCGTCTTATCTAGAGATGCCGCCCAGACTTCCGGTTCTCCTCTCTTGTGCTGTCCTGCCTTTTCTACGCAATAGTCTGTGTTTGTGGTTTTCTCAACCTACTTCCTTACAGTAGAGTT